CCTCAGCTGACAAGTAGCTAAAGAAAATGTGGTACATATATACAATGGAGTTCTATTCAGCAGTAAAGAAAGACAAAATCATGAAATTTACAGGTAAAAGGATGGATCTAGAAACTGTTATACTAAGTGAAATAACACACACTCAGAAAAACAAAAGACATATGCTCTCCCTCATTTGTGGATGCTAGTACCAAATCCTTGTGAGTGCATATCCTGATGTAACTACAGGAACCAGGAAAGTGGAAGGAAACCAGGGAGAAAAAGGGAAAGAAGGAACCCAAGAGAAAAGAGTAGTAGGAGACAGGCATTACTAAGGGAGAAATGTGTAAAAGGGGAGCAATTAAAGAGGAAGGGGAGAAGGAGGGCTATCCAAGGAACTATGGGAATAAAGGGGAAGAAGTTGGGACCATAGCATACAAAAATTATCAAGGGCGAAATGGGGAAAATAGGGACACTTTAAATGGGAAGGGTGGGGAGGGAGGATAATACAGGGAGAGAAAGAGGAGACATAAATAGTGCCTAGTTGTATAAAAACACAAAGGGACTTGAACCAGTGTCCAGTCTACAAAGAGGAGGGTCAACACAGAGAATCATTTCCTCCATGCTTCCAAACAAAGCCAGCCATGGTCGAGCAGGACCTTTGATTTATCTTCAAATAGGTGGAACTGGTAAAAGAAAGGAGCCAGGGGCCCCTCCCACGCCCATGGGGCCTCTGAGGAACAGATCCTCAAACTACCCTAAGAGTAAAAATAAATTGGTTTATCTGGGCCAACTGTTGGGTCTTAAACACCCAAAAGGAAAGTATAAACTAAGATTAAAGGGGTCAATATAGTTTTTTAAGAGTCCATATGTATAGCTAAAGGCTACATAACAAGAAGCAATGCCAGACAGGAGATACCTTCCTTTGAGTTACTTGCTAAGGTGCTGCAAGAGACTCCCAGACAGTAACTCAGCATAGAACTGGGAAAAGGAACAGCAGACCCCAATCTTATCTAAAGGAATATTGAGCATAGAACTGGGAAAATGAACAGCAGACCCCAATCTTATCTAAAGGAATATTGACAACTGATTGCTACTAGATGAGGAATAGCTGACCTTCCTAAAACAAAGAGCTCTAGATAGGCTTACTAGACTCACCAGATGGACAAGTAGTGGGAATGGCTGGGGGTGCTGACAACACAGCAGACAGTAGCAGGGATATCAGAGCATAAGGGCTCTAGTGGGGGAGGGAGGCTATGGGATGGTGCCATCTGGGAAGTGGGTGTATAGCTGAATAAGATGGTTTGGGATGTTCTGTGTGATACACAAAAAAAATCAACAAATTTTTATAAAGTATTATATTTGAGGAGGAAGCATGGAAATTTACGTCATATTAATTAGTAGATGTTAGTAGACCTACCATTGAAATCTACCCGATACCATTGAAATCTACCTGATGACTTTATAGACATACACAGGTGCCAAGGATCTGAGTGCAACTGATTATGACTAGTAATAATCAGATACAGATTAGAGATACAAGGGCCAACATCTCAGTGTTAGTAGCAAAAACAATGAGTCTTCAAGGAACAATATATTCTAAAATGAAATGGAGATCTTTTTTAAAGGTTTAAAACATTCAATTTTTGTCTTACAGGGCTTATACTGAGTTCAATATTGGTATTAAGTATTAATTCAACTGTGAACCTAGAAACTTACAGCCACTTATGAAAGAGATGTACTCTTGCTCTGGAGTGTGTTACTGAATATATTAAAGCTGTAATGAAATGCTTCTTCTAATCATGTACTTATTAAAAATTAAAAAGTTTACTGACAAAAAAAGAAATAGCCTGATTATGGATCATGAGCCTTTAAAGTAGGAATTATATCATGCTATACCATACATGGGTGCCCATTACACGTGTGCCAGCCTGGCAGAGGGTCTGCTCCTCCACATCCTGAGCAAGAGGTGTGAACTATAACCAAAGCTGAAGTCAGGTATGATGTCACATGCCTATAGTAGCAGCACTTGAGAGTATGAAGCAGGAGAATTGCCACAGATCCCAGGCAAGCCTGAACTACACAGTAAATTGCTGACCAGTCTGAGCTATAGTGTGAGACCCTGTCTAGAAAACAAAAGCCATGCTACAAACAGCCCAGTGGCTGTTGGTCTAATGGAATCTTTGTTCTGCAGCTGGAGGCTGAAGCCTGGGCCCTGCTCTTACTCTTCAGACTCAGACCTGTTTCCATTTGCTGCTGTGGACCTGAGTGGGTAGGGGGGAGTGTGAGGAGCTTTTGGGTTTTGCAGAGATGCTCACAGCAAGGCTACAAGTGCAGTGAGTTTGACAACTCAGCCCTCCTTTTGAAACAGGGTATAGGGATGCACAAGTATGGAAGCTGAATGCAGGAGGTCAAAGAGGCAGGGCCTACTTTCCCTCAGGAAGAAAGAGAGGAAGAGAAGAAGGAAGAGGAGAAAGGAGGCCAGAGGAGGTATGAGGAGGAAAACGGGTGGGTCACCAGGCAGGGCTAAGTCTGAAGGGTTCCCAGGACCTGAACATGCTTGGCACAGAGCAGGCAGCTACATGTATGATGAATGAGTGAATGAATGAATGAATAAATAAATAAATAAATAAATAAATAAATAAATAAATGAAATCTTGCAAAGACTGGCAATGTGTGTGCTCAGGAGAGTGAAGGGCTAATGAGTCCCACCCCCTGTCATTGAGAGGCCCAGAAGGAGCTTTTGTGGGGATTCATTTGGGCTCCAATGTTGAAGGTCAGACCTTGGCAGCGGTCAGCTAACCACCAGGCAGTTTGGGGTGTGCCGTCACCCTGGCTGTCTTGTCGCCCTGGCAGACTCTGAAGGATGTAATCCAAATCCCAATCTTCAAGTTGCTGAAATGATGAAGCTGTTGGTTACACGGCTGCAGCAGGGTCCCACAAGCAAGACCCCCATTTTCACAGTGCTGGAACCAGCAGAAGAGTGTCATGGGTTGGGGGGGCCATGTGGCCAGTGGAGGATGTCACGGGTTGTTGTGGGGGGCAGGCAAGCACAGGAGATAGTTTGGCCTGGGACCCCACTGATTTTAGGTTATGCATACTCCCCACTTTGCAGCCTAGTTCCTTCATCTTCCTACTTTTTTTTTTTTGGTCTTTTTTTGAGACAGGGTCTCCCTGCAACCCCAGTTGTCCTGGAACTCACTATGTAGACCAGGCTGGCCTTGAATTCACAGAGATCCACCTACCTCTGTCTCCCAAGTGCTGGGATTAAAGGCGTGCGCCACCACGCCCAGCCCTTCCTACATTTTATACACATCTGCTCTTCAAATAATACACTGGGTAACCTCAGAACCCCTCAATCCCTCACCTGCATCTGGCTACATGTACCCCCATCTCTGGACTATAGTATAAGTTTCCTCCCTCTTGGTAGCAATCACATTTAGACAGTTTCTATTCAAATGTATTCCCAATATATCTAGGTATGAAGAACAGAAGGGCCAATCTGGCCTGAATGGTTTGTTTTCTGTTTTTTTTGTTGTTTTTTGGGGGGTTGTTTTTGAGACAGGGTGTCCCTATAACGCTAGCCGGCCTGGAACTTGCTATGTAGACCAGGCTGGCCTCATTTCACAGAGATCCACCTCCCTCTACATTCCAAGTGCTGAGATTAGAGGCATGTACCACTACCCCTGGCCTGAACTGGTTTTAGGTGCTTGCACAATAAGCCAAAACTGTGTCCTCTAGTAACCTTTTAGGAAGAATCCCCTATTTACCATCTTATGCTTATGCATAACTGGGCATGCATAGGATTAAAATCAGATGCATTATGGGAAAGAGACATGTACAATAAGAAAAATTAATGTTATGACCTAATCTATCAATCAAAATAGAGAACCACCAAATTATGCCTCTTAATAACCATCCCCTCCTTCTCTTGAACCCTGTACAATGAAGCCCTGAACAATAATTGGGCCCTTGAGTACTCTCATGTGGCCTGCTGTCAATCTTGATCCTCTTTAATCTGCACTGTCACTCTACTCTGAATAGTTTTCTTGATGCTTTTGCAAATCTGTATGAGCCCTTATTTTCTATTTTTTGGATAAGAGGCCAAGAACCTGGAAATATCCAGCCCAGACCTGACCACCAGTAATAACACAGTCATATTCAGGGTTTAAGTACATCTAGCAAATGAGTGCACTGTCCTTTGCCACTCATCACAAATGGAACCCTTCTTTTAAGGTAGCGCCTGCATTTCTTGGCACCTCTTTCCTAGGCTTCTTTTGGAGTGGAGGGAGGGGGTCAATGCTTTGGGTACAAAGATGTCTGACCTGAAGGAAACTCCCCCACTTTTTTTGAAACAGGGTCTCATTGTAGCCCAGGCTGGCCTTCAACTCTCTGTGTAGCCAAGGATGACCTTGAATGTCTGATCCTCTTACCTTTACCTCCCAAGTGCTGGGATTATAGGCATACACCACCATGCCCAGTTTATGCAGTGTTCGGGATTAAACCCAAGGCCACTTACAAGCAAGGTAAGTACTCTACCAACTGAGCTACATCCCCAGCTTCTCTCCCTATACCCATGTCATTTTAAACTGTTTAGGTTCATACAAATTCAAGATGTTTGCAGGTTTTACAAAGTTCACAATTTTCAGAACCTGGTGGTTCTCCAGAGAACTTGGCCAAAATGGCTTTGGGAACAGACAGAAAAGTGGAGGGCAGTGAACAGAATGAAACAGGTGGCTTAGTGGATTTTTTTCATGGTAAAATATGTGTATAAAATGAAGAAGACTTCTGTGCATACCCAAGTTGTTAAGAAAAGTGATCCAAGAGTACATAACCTTTCCTTAGCTGAGGCATCTTCCAACACATCCACCTCTGCCTAGAAGGGGCTCAGCTTGCACAACTGACCAGGGCCCTCCAGTTGTGTAGCCTTGGGAAGCTGGGGAGGTATGATGGATTTCTTTGCTGTCCAGCAGGCAAGGTAATCTCACAGATCATACTTGTGCTGCCCAAAGGCTGCCAGTCTACTATGACAGAACACAGACCCACCTCTGTGGGACATAGACTTGCCTCTGAGGGACACAGACCTGCTTCTCTGCACTGTAGTCCTCTCCACGCCCTTTCTCCTCTGCAGTATCTTACAAAATCCCTCTCCTAATTCCTTTGCACCATCTCTGTCTCCCTGCTGGTTCTCTCACTTAATGTACTAAGTCTGACTTGGACAGCTGCTCTTAGCAATTGAGGGAGGGCTGTGTACCAAAAGGACACTGTTCCAGCAGCATCTGGTTCTGCCTTAAGCATGGCTATGTGAATTCAGACACCCATGCTTGCAGTAGGCTCTGTGTTCTAAGAAGGCTGGAGTTGCCTTTTCTGCCTGTTCTTACCGACTCTCCCTGAGGGTGAGCTCCCTGCAGGGCTCCCACCATGACAGGAGCAGCTTCTTGTTGTCTGGGGTCTGGGCTTAGGGTCTTAAGACTGGCAGCTGGTTCTAGCCTAAGCAGTGTGTGGGAATGTGGCTACACTGCAGGGGAAGGGTGGCCAGGCAGTGGTGACACCTACCTGGAGGGAGAGCTCTGGTCCTCCTTCCTGAGGCTGATCTGAGGGTGCTTCTAGATAGGGTCCTGACTCTGAAGCTTGGCCATGGTCACCACAGGCTGGGTCCTGGGCATTCCAGGTCACTTTCTGCAAGATATCTTTCTCTATCATCTTTCGCCTCTCCCGGTGCAGGGCTCTGCGCTTTGAAGCATCTGAAGGTTTTGTCTTCGGCTCTTCTTCCAGGGAAAGGATGGCTTCTTCTTCCTGGGAGCCCCAGGGAAGATTCTGGGATCCTTTGATATTTGAGGACAGGTTTCCAAAGTCACCTTCCAGGCAGGTGGGGGTCTCCCCAGTCAGTGTAAGAAGAGGGTTGCTCTTAGCATAGCTCTGGCAAGACCAGTCAGGGCCCCTTCCTTCCTGAGGGGTCAAGTCCCCAAGTCTTGCCTTCTGTCCACTCCCAGGCACCAGAATCAACTGAGGAGAAAATGCATCCTCTGTGACCATTTGTGAGACATACTTTAGTGGATTCTTTCTCATGGTAAAATACCTACCCCATTTTAACACTTTAAAAATTTAAATTTGTTTTTATTTTTTATGTGTATGAGTGTTTTGCCTGTGTGTAAGTGTACCATGTACATGCAGTGCCTGCAGAAGACAAAATAGGGTGTCAGATCCCCTGTAACTGTAGTTACAGGTGGTTGTGAGCCATCACGTGGGTGCTGGGAGCCAGATCCAGGTCCTCTGTGAGAGCAGTAGGCACTCTTAACTGATGAGCATCCCTCCAACCCTGCTCCTACTTTTTTGAGACAGGGTCTTGCTATATAGTCCAAGCTGGCCTGGAACTGTGTTGCCCAAGTTGTCCTCAAACTCACAAAAAATCTTCCCGCCTCACTCAGCCTCTTTAGTAATTGATTTACAGTTATAAGCCACCATGCCCAATAGGTCACTGGGTTTATTATTTTTTATGGTGTTGGGGATTGAATCTAGGGCTTCCTAAATGCTAAGCCATCACTCTGTTACTAAGCTATATCCCTAGCCCTGTTTTCACTTTTTAAAAATTTGGGACAGGGTCTCTGTGTAGCCTTGAACTTTTTTTTAAAGACAAGGTTTCATGTAGCCCAGGCTACCTTTGACCAAGAATGGCTTTGAACTTCTGATCCTCCTGCCTCTACTTCCTGAGTGGTGGGATTACAAGGGTATGCCAGTACACCTAATTTCGGACCAAACTTGAACTGAACCTGGGTCTTCTCAAGAGCAGCCAGTGTTCTTAACCACTGAGCCATCTCTTCAGTCCCTTGGCCCTGAACTTTTGATGCTCCTGCCTCACCCTCCAAAAAGCTGAGATTATAAGCCTGTGCCATCAGGTCTGACTGAACCACTGGGTTTAGATAGGGTTCTTGGTCTCCCTCAGGGTCCTGGGAAACAAACATGGTTAGGACTATGGTACTGACCGTTCCTGTGACTAGGAAGCCTGAGCTTGTGCTGTGGCCTTTCCTGGTTGTTTCCTGCCTCTTCTGACCTCCCTACCAGTATAGCAGCAGACACCATTGAACAAGCATTATGAAACATCTTTTCCTCTCTGGCTCCCCAATAGGGCACTTAGTAACACAACATAGATTCAATGGACTTGGGGTCAGCTGGTTATAAAGTTAGTTGGGTTAGAGAGTGATATTGAGATGGGTGATTGTAACAATGGCCAGACAATACAGAGTGCCTTGGCAGAAAACAGGACAGAGAACTCAGGGCAAAAATCAGATGGAAACTCAAGTGTACTTGGTATGCTGAAAGGGAGATGTGTTTAGGGGCTGGGTATATGAACTTGGACTATCCCTGGAGGAAGACAGACAAGACCAATGTTTTTAACCATTATAGACTTACACTGCTGGTAGAATACCCCAAGA